TATACGTTTGATACACACATCCCATCAAACAGAGTATGAAAATTATTATATTAACCAAAGTGCTTTTTATTGGAACCATAATATACAAAATAAAAATTGTTTTAACTAATTTAATGAATGTTTTATAAACATTTATAACAGTGTACTAAATAATTTATTTTGAATACTATTTAGAAAATATCTAGTAAACAATATAATTACAATTCAATATAATTTAAGTTATTTATAGAAATGTACTTAAATAAATTAATATAATTGTAGCATGTTTTCTGTGCTAGATAATTAGTTTAATAAAGATTCACTTAAGAAAATCAATAAAATAAATTAGATCACCATTTTAATTATATAATTAATGACCGGTACAATTATTTTGAACGTTTTAACAAAAATATACTGTATTGTATTAATAATAATCTATTAATCAATAATCTATTAATATATAAATGAATTTTAGAAAAATTAAAACCTTAGAATTTCTTAGCATTTAAACGTGTATTGATTATTATAAAAATATTAATTTACAGTATTATTTATTAAAAATAATGTTTTAATTATCATTCTTTAACATGATGATATATTTTAACATGTGATTAAATATTTCCTAAAAATAATAATAAAATTAGGCATAATGATTAAACAAAAATGCATGAATATGTTCTACCAATTAATATTAGTAAAACGTTTGTCACATATACAAACATAGTATAGTTTAAATAGATTTTTCTATGGTAAATGAGTTAATTTTTAACGCTAGAAAACGCATAAAAACGCTAGTATAAATTAATTATCAAACAGTTTATTATAATTATTTAAAAATGATTTTAAATAACAATACAAACGATACGATTGAATGTCGGGTATGTCTGGAGAGCACAGACGAGGAATCGATGATAACTCCGTGCGCTTGCAGTGGATCTATGGCTCACATTCACATCAAATGTTTTCAGCGGTGTATTGAAACCAATGGCCGACACGTGTGTGACATTTGCCGCAAGGAATGGACGGGTATTACGATTATCAAAGAAATGAAAACTTATGGCCAATTTCTTAATGAAAACCCTGCTTACTATACAGAGTTGATTATGGCTGTAATTTTGGGTTTATTGAACGTCTTTACGTTAATATATTATTGTCATCTATTTAAATATTATATATTAAATGACATACATAATTTAATATTTCGTATTTAGACAATATGTCTTGGGATATCTATGTCATGTATTTGTTATATTTTATATGATATACATACCATATTTAAACAATGGAAATTATATAATTTTAACGTTGTTATAAAAACAAATAAAATGTGAAAAAATATGTATCAATTGTATATTAAATTAAACTGTATCATGGTTTATTTACAGGGAAATTTAAGGGGTATTATAATAATCTTGTCGTGAATGTGAATCAGTCACTCCTGGTAATATTCCACTCAACTATCATGATGACTTCGATGAGCTCATACATCACTCATTACTCCTATACATCACCTCATGTGCATTGGATATGCACATATTATACTCATCATTACCAATCACCTTAATGTCATTATACCATATATAAAACTCACACACTCTGTATTAATCGCAGTCAATTGCAAGTCCTCTTCGAAGGCAATACTATTCTCTAATAAATAGTTGTTGTAATTGTTAACGAGTGTAACGTTATTTAGCCCTCACTTAGGGGTTAATACCGTCGGCGACCACACCTCTCAGTCGTGACAGTAGTGGTCATACTTCGCCCGCAAGTCTGCTCATTACCGATCGCGACAATCTATAATGTAATTATCTGCTTATATTTTATGACATACCGAATTATGACATATTGAATTATTTTATAAAAAAAATTCAGATTACATTTACATTTTATTGAAATTCTTTATTCGACATAAATATCTTAAAAGAATTGTGATTTATTGCCCTAACAGTAGGTGTAAATCATTATATAGTTGTTGATAATTAGCGGCTCGTATATCAGTAGTGGTCAATTTCTTTACACTGGCATAGAATACAGTAACCTGGGCATTTAGAAATTCACGCACCTACATCATAAATCATATGGAGATAACAATATTAATGTTTATAATTCATAAACATAAAATTATTATAAACTTACCCTATCGTGAAACTCAGGCCAAAACACTTTGCCTTTAGCACGCTCGTTTTTGGCCGCTTGAATAAGGTAATTACTCAGATCAGTGACCAATGTTTGCAGGTCTTTAGCCAAAATGACCTCGGTATCGGTCACATTAAGCTCGTGACCCGCCCTCTCTTTAGCCTGTTTCACACCAGTCGCATACAACTGCCAAACACCCTCCGTAAGCTTACGATAGGTGTCCAGTTGTAAAGTGTGGTTGGTGAGTTTGTCGATTCTAACATAATCGTCGGGTATCTCTTTGTCGCCCAATTTACTGATGGCTACGTAGAAGTCGGCCACCGGTTGCAGATGGTGTTTGACATACTGGGCCTCAGCCGCCACCAGTAGAGCGCCTGTAGCCGTGAGATTGCCCGCAATGAACGCTTTGTATTCGGCGATTGTGTAGTTTACCGGCGCGTCGCCCGAGCTTTCGACCCACGCATCCCAGGCATAGGCTGTTGTAAAGAATGTGATTTAATTCAATAAAATTAATGTTAATAATTGACCATAATTATAATTTATAATAAATGAATGTAATTTATATAACAAATACAAATGTTAATTACTTGAAGCAAGTCCGTTTATTAGACAAAGCGCAAACACGGTATAAGAGTATTTCATTTTAATAACAATTTTTAATTAATTATAGCATTATTAATGCTGTTTATATACGAATTATTTATCACCACAATTGGCACATTTCAATTATTATAATCATCTATTCTAGATTAGAGAGTTAATTATTACAAAACTATTATTTTTAGTGCAAATAAACATTTGTATGTATTGATAATTGATTGCATAATTCATTGCACACAGTGTTCACGAGGAATGAAATTAGTAATAACCACCATTCCTTGAAAGGGCCAGAGATATATTTAGGTTATATTTTAGTATCTAGATAAATGCACTTAATGTTACCAAGTAAGTATATGTCTATAAATCGCTGTATTCTAAGGCATACAGTATTAATTATTAGCTCCTACACTTCAACATTAGAATTACAGTGTATAGACTCTATACTATTAGTCCCCAAAAGAAGTCATGACGTATTAATAGGTTTATTTTAAAATTAAAATTTTTACAATAAA